AAAGGTCCACATATAATCTCCCCACACACAAACTTTACCAATGATAAAGAATTATTCCTTTGCTAGCGCTAATTAAACCAAGTTTTAAAAATCAATGCTAGAAATTGGTTTGTAAATTAGTTAGTATTTTACCACACTTATCAAGTCTAAGTTTACCTCATAAGGTGGTTAGTGAGGAGGACCAAGAAAATGGAAAGGAGGAAGACTAAGAAAAAAGGAGGAGAAAGAAGGAAGAAGTGCCTTAGCAAATAAATTAGCATCATTAGCATGTTAAAAGCAAGCATCACTGCTAGTTCAATTTTATGAAGAGTAAGAAAGATAGTGGATGGAACCCTCTAAAGTAACATTTAAAGTATTAAATGGAGAAATAAAGGATTCTGTAACTTGCCTTGGGTTCCTCCCAAAAGGAAGTAAGTGGATTATAAATATAAGCAAATACAGCAAACATCTGTATCCACTGTTTCACTTAGCCATGTTGTACAAGACCAAAGTATTTTAGTTTCATCTTCAGTATTTGGCCTTCTAAAGAGCAGTCGGGGTTGATCTCCTCTAGGACTGACACAGCCATACATTGTACCTGGAAAACCATAGCCTTGACTATACACGCTTTTGTCGGCAGGGTGATGTCTCTACTTTTTAGTATGCTGTCTAGATTTGCCATAGCTTTCCTCCCCAGGAGCAAGCATCATTTAATTTTTTTTAAATTTCAATTTATACCCTGCCTTTTTCCTACAAAGGGCTCAAGGCAGCTTGCATCATTCTCCTCCTCCATCTTATCCCCACAACAACAACCCTGTGAGGTATGTTAGGCTGAGAGTCTGTGACTGGCCCAAAGTCACCCAGTTGGCTCCATGGCTGAGCGGGGACTAGAACCCAGATTGTCTGAGTCCTAGTCCCATGCTCTTAACCACTACACCACACTGGCTCTCTTGGCTGCAGTCCCCATCTGCAGTAATCGTGGAACCAAGGAAGATAAAATCTGTCACTACCTCCATTTCTTCCCCATCTATTTTCCAGGAAATGAGAGGGCCGGATGCCATGATCTTAGTTTTCTTAATGTTGAGTTTCAAGCCAACTTTTGCACTCTTCTCCTTCACCCGCATCAAGAGGCTCTTTCGTTCCTCTTCACTTTCTGCCATTAGAGTGGTATCATCTGCATCTCTAAGGTTGTTGATATTTCTCCTGGCAATCTTAATTTCAACTTGTGATTCCTCTAGCCCCTCCTTTCTCATGATGTGTTCTGCATATAAGTTAAATAGGCAGGGCGATAGTATACAGCCTTGCCGAACTCCTTTCTTAATTTTGAACCAATCAGTGGTTCCATGTCCAGTTCTCACTCTTGCTTCTTGACCCACATATAGGTTTCTCAAGAGACAAATAAGATGGTCTGGTACTCTCATCTCTTGAAGAACTTCCCGCAATTTGTTGTGATCCACACAATCAAAGGTTTTAGCATAGTCAATGAAGCAGAAGTAGATGTTTTTCTGGAACTCCCTAGCTTTCTCCATGATCCAGCGTATCTTGGCAATTTGATGTCTAGTTTGTTAGGTCCCTGCCATTTTGGTCCTTTATCATGCCCATCTTAGCATGAAACGTTCCCTTCATATCTCCAATTTTCTTGAAGAGATCTCTGGTCCTCCCTATTCTATTCTTTTCTTCTATTTCTTTGAAGAAGGCATTCTTATCTCTTCTAGCTATTCTCTGGAATTCTGCATTCAATTGGGTGTATCTTTCTCTTTCTCCCTTGCCTTTCGCTTCTTTCCTCAGCTATCTGTAAAGCTTCCTCAGACATCCATTTTGCTTTCTTGCATTTCTTTTTCTTTGGGATGGTTTTAGTTGCTACCTCTTGTACAATGTTGCCAACCTCTGTCCATATTTCTTCAGGCACTCTGTCTATCAGATCTAATTTCTTAAATCTATTTGTCACCTCTACTGTATATTCAGGGACTGCAGGTGGCGCAGTGGTTTAAACCGCTGTGCTGCTGCGCCGGTTGATCGAAAGGTCGCCAGTTCGAATCTGCACAACGGAGTGAGTTCCTGTTGCTCCATCCCAGCTCCTGCCAACCTTGCAGTTCGAAAGCATGCAAATGCAAGTAGATAAAAAGGTACCACTTCGGAGGGCAGGTAACAGCGTTCCGTGCACTTCGGTGTTTAGTCATGCCAGCCACATGACCATGGAGACTGTCTGTGGACAAACGCTGGCTCCCTCGGCTAGGAAACAGAGATGAGCACTGCCCCTTAGATTAAGGCATGACTGGACTTAATGTCAAGGGGAAACCTTTACCTTACTGTATATTCATCAGGGATATGATTTAGGTCATACCGAAGTGGCTTAATGCTTTCTCCTACTTTCTTTAAGTTAAGCCCGAATTTTGCCACAAGAAGCTCATGGTCTGAGCCACAGTCAGCTCCTGGCCTAGTATTTACTAACTGTATAGAGCTTCTCCATCTTTGGATGCAGAGCACATAGTCAATCTGATTTCTGTGTTGACCATCTGGTGACGTCCATGTGTAAAGTTGTCTCTTGGGTTGTTGGAAAAGAGTGTTTGCTATGACCATTGTATTCTCGTGACAAAATTCTACCAGCCTGTGCCCTGCTTCATTCTGTACTCCAAGGCCAAACTTGCCTGTTATTCCAGATACCTTTTGGCTTCCTACTTTAGCATGCCAATCCCCCATGATGACAAGGACATAATTTTTTGGTGTTAGTTCTGGAAGGTGTTGTAGGCCTTCACAGAACCAGTCAACTTCAGCCTCTTCAGCATCAGTGGTTGGGGCATAGACTTGAACTACTGTGATGTTGAATGGTTTGCCCTGGATTTGAACTGAGATCATTCTGTCATTTTGGAGATTGTACCCCTGTACTGCTTTTCCTACTCTTTTATTGACTATGAAGGTTACTCCATTTCTTCTGAGCGATTCTTGCCCGCAGTAGTATACCTGATGGTCATCTGAATTAAATTCACCCATTCCTGTCCATTTTAGTTCACTGATTCCTAAGATGTCAATGTTCAGTCTTGTCATCTCGTTTGACCATGTCCAGCTTACCTTTATTCATGGATCTTACATTCCAGGTTCCTATTCCAGGTTCGTTACAGCACTGGATTTTCCTTTCACCACCAGATACATCCGCAACTGAGTGTCCTTTCGGCTTTGACCCAGTCGCTTCATTCTTTCTGACGCTACTAGTACTAGCCCTCTGCTCTTTCCCAGTAGCATACTGGACACCTTCCAACCTGAGGGGCTCATCTTCTGGCATCATATCTTTTTGCCTTTGGTACTGCCCATGGGGTTTTCATGGCAAGGATACTGGAGTGGGTAGCCATTTCCTTCTCCAGTGGATCAAGTTTTGTCAGAGCTCTCTGCTATGACCTGTCCATCTTGGGTGGCCCTGCACGGCATAGCTCATAGCTTCACTGAGCTACACAAGCCCCTTCGCCACAATACCTGACGCACTAGAGCACAGCTGGTTCCTGCTTCACAAGCCTCACGTGCAGCCACATACCTGTTTCTGACTCTGGCACCAACCCCTTGCTGGCAGCATCCAGGAGGATAAGCATTCTCCATGCAGCTGTCTGTTCCCTCTCACCCGAGCCCCCCTATACCCATCTGCAGCATAGTAGGCCGCAAAACTCCAATAGTGTTTGCTACTATCTGCGGTTTCAGGCAGATAGGGGACTTGGAACCTATCCCCTGCAGATATGGTAGTCCTACTATATTGAAGATATCACTGTACTGTGTGGGATAATCTATTATTTGGAAAATGGTTGCTTCTCTGGAAGCAATGAAAGAATCTTGACTACATATATTTGTTTGTCTGTATGCAGACTGCCCTAGCTATCTCAGGTTACATTTCCCCCAGAGGAAAGTAGATGACTTTGCAGTTTCAAGGTTGCCTACTGAAGATACTCAGACTGAACAAGAGCACCAGCCCACCTTAGAAAAGGAGGAGGGTATTTCAGAATGCATGACATGGAAACAGCTATGGAGTAGACTTTTGCATTCTGTTTAATGCCTGAGCAGAGATGGAGTCATATAAATACAGAAGACTGGAACAGTTGCTGTCTGATTATTGTAGCTTCAGGCACCTCTTTTGGTTCTCAAGGGTCCTGCTTTCTACATATGTTTGAAAAATGATAAGATAAAATCTGTGTGTGCAAGGACTTAATAGCCCAGTTCACACACAATGAATTGGATTAATGCATGCTACCAGATGCTCCCATTGCAAGCAATCTATTTCTGCACCCCAATGATTAGAGAAAACTCTGCAGCAGCTACACACAAATCAGTGAAGTGTCTTATCAGCTGGTCCAAGGCTGAGAAATTCTATAAGTCTCCCATAAAATTTAAAACATCTGATGAGGACACATCAGCTGTTAGTATACAAAAAGGGATTTTTGACAGTGGAAATACTAATGCATTCAGCACAACTGTAATACTGTAATAGAGAGCTATTATTTAATAAATCTGCTATCACCACTAGTCATTTGCCCAGTGAAGCATAATTTTCTTATTTGTCAAGATCACATAGATATCTAGTCTTTCCTTTATGGAAGTGAAGGTGACTTACATAGCACTCCTCATTTTATCATTGCAAAAATTTTCAGGTACAGATTAAAGCAGTTAATAATTTGACAAGGATGCCCAGAAAGGTTTATTATTGGATAGAGTTTTGTTCTCAAAGTTGTAAACCCAGATCTGCACAATTTGCAAAACCAAAACAGTTCACCAGTTGAACAGGTATTTATAGTACAAGGCAGACAGCAAACACAAACTTATGTGTGTTCTTCTCCTTTCCCTCCACCACTCTTAGAAGGCAATATCCAAACCAAGACAATCTGCAAACAGAATCTCCCGTTTATGCAATACTATCTATAAGCTATAAGGGGAATTGGAAGAAGGGCGGAGAAGAAATGTTCCTCTTCTTATCACTGTATGTAGGTGCATAATGTACTGCCTAAGTCACAGTATGTTAACATATGTCACTTTTTTCATTTTACCTCCCAGAAGCTATCACTAGAAACCTCTTCTCCAAAAGAATCATCATATGAGCCAGACATCTCAAAATGCCCAACTGCAGTCTGGTGTCTTGTAAATACTGGTTCTTCAGAGTCTGCAAGGGGAAAAGAAAAAAACTGGCTAAAGAGAGAATTGAACTTTTTCATATAAGAAAAACATATTATCCATTTGTGGTATTTACTTTAAGTTTTATATCATGCTAAACAAAAGTCCTCATGACAACTTACAAGAACAAAATATTCAGCATTCAGAAGCCTGATGGTCCAGAGGGAGGTTACATTATAGCCCTTTAATCAGACTGCAAGAAAAACATGGAATGGACCTTTCAGAGTATCAGCAAGGGTTTCTTTTCTCTTTCTTTTCCCTAGAAATACTACGTATCTTACCAATGGGTGTTGAGCATGGAGAAATTATTTTCTCTATATATTATGGTAGTCAGTAATATGCTTACTTTTTCTCCCTCTCCCATAAGCAAAACTACATTCCCTGAAAAGAACACTTTGTTCTCCTCACCAGACAATATCCTCAAATTTAACAGCTAAAAAAAATATTTTGAGCCCTTGAATCGACCCTTTATTCAAGATATAGTTACATGTAGGTGCAGAACCTGTACCATGACCCTTAACCCCACCACAAGCTCTACCCCTACTGTTATTGAGGAGAAACAAGGAGAGTAATCAAGAAGGTATATACAAAATCCAGACATGCTGGCTCCTAGACAGATGTGTGCCTTGGATTTAATTGACATTACCCACATTTTGGTTAAAGGATTCCTTTTTTTTCTGAAAGCCATAGCCTAAGATGAGCAGGTTGCTTACCTGTAACTGATGTTCTTCGAGTGGCCATCTGTGCATTCACACATATGGGTGCTGCGCCTGCGCAGAGCCTAGGCCGGAAGATTAGAAAGCTAACGGTTTTTGGTGGGAAAACGCTCCGCTCCCCTCCCCCCTGCAGTATAAATTGAGTGGAGCATCCGCCATTTTACTCAGTCTTGAAGACCGATGTTCACCCCCTAAAGTTCAAAAAACAGCATCACAGCAAGAAAAATCGGTACCGTAGGAATAACACGGAACCGACAGTAAGAAAAAAACAGTCCACTCACTGACACCCTGCGGATCCAGCTGGTGGGTTTTGTGAATGCACAGATGGCCACTCAAAGAACATCAGTTACAGGTAAGCAAGCTGCTCTTCTTCATCGTGGCCTCTATGCATCACACATATGGGTGATTAGCAAGCTTACCAGACTTGGAGGAAGGAAGGTGTCGTCAGTGAAGAATGGCAGAGAGCACAGCACTACCAAAGGAACAATCCCTTCTGGCGCGTACATCAAGCCGATAATGCTTGGTGAAAATACATGGAGCAGCCTTGCAAATATCCTGAATTGGAACCCCTGCTGCAAAGGCTGACGAAGTCGCTACTGCTCGCATAGAATGCCCCCTCGGAAGTGAGGGCAAGTCAAGTTTTGCCAATTGATGTGTTAGGACTATGGTCTGCACAATCCATTTGGACAGTCGCTGAGATAAGACTGGAGAGCCCTTGTCATGAGCAGGATATTTGACAAAAGGTCTATTGGAATTCCTGAACGCTTCTGTGCGAGACCTGTAAAAGGCTAGACAATGCCTAACATCTAGCATATGGAGAGAGCGCTCAATCGGAGTCGACAGAGATGGAAAAAACGCAGGGAGGGCGATGTCTTGGTTCCAATGAAACGGTGTAGCCACCTTGGGAAGAAACTTGGAGTCCATTTGGAGAATGACTTGTTCCTTGTGAAAGTTCAAGAACGGTGGATCTATGCATAGAGCACACAGTTCACTAGCTCTTCTGGCTGAAGTAACTGCAACAAGGAAGGCAGTTTTCCATGAAACTAGGCGTAAATCCACTGTTGCCAAAGGTTCAAATGGAGGTTTTGTAAGGGCCTGAAGTACAACAGAAAGACCCCATGTGAGCATAACAGGTCGAACTGACGGGTGCAAATTTTGTAGCCCTTTAAGGAAACGGCAAATCAGGGGTTGAGAAAAAAACAGATGACCCCTGGATGCTGCCACGAAAATGCGGGATAGCAGCTGTATAGATCTTTATAGATGAAGGCTTGAGTCCCGAGCGATGAAGGTCGAATAGAAATTGCAAAATATTCTCCATCAAAACCGACTCCAGAGAGAAGGAACGGGCATTGGCAAAGGAAGAGAATCTTCTCCACTTTGATGAATACGATTTGTGTGTGGAAGGTCGCAGTGCAGATTCAAGAATTGCCTGGATATCCGAGGATAACACTATCAGTCCCAAAATGGACCTTGACGGTTCCGAGGGAGGAGTTAGTTGCATCGATCGGGACGGCAACGGGGCCGACGGAAAATTCAGATCTATCGGAAGCACCACACTGTTAGTTTCAACGAGAGTAGGTCCGGGTGTCGGACTGTCCCGTTGTGTTGTGTTAACAGATGAGGAACAAGTGGAAGTCGTCGAAAAACTCCTCTGGACTGAGTGAGGAGAGTGGTGAACCAGGGTTGCCTTGGCCACCATGGGGTTATCAGAATTCCTGTGGCGTTGTCGTGCACGATCTTCGACACTACCTTCATGAAGAGTGGGACTGGAGGGAACGTGTAGAAGAACAGGTTATTCCAGTCGATCATTAGGGCATCTCCCCTCGAGTCCAGTCCCAGCCCTGCTCTGCAGCAGAACAGTTCGCACACCCTGTTCGACTGGGTCGCGAACAAGTCTATATCTGGTTGTCCCCACAACTGGAACAGCTGGTTGCAAACCACTCGATCCAACTCCCATTCGTGGGTAGTTGACATCTGTTGGCTCAGTGCGTCAGCTTCTACGTCATTGGTTCCCACAAGATGAACCACCAGTATCGCGATGTCCTGAGGAATGCACCAGTCCCAGATTTGCATTGACAAAGGGGCCAGGAGAGGTGACTTTGTCCCGCCCTGTTTGTTGACGTAGAAAACAGCAGCTATGCTGTCGGACGCAATCTGTACAACTTAGCGGTGTAAGACAGTTTCGAAAAATTTGAGAGCGTTGAAAATCGCTAGAAGCTCGAGGAAGTTGATATCCCTCGCCGCTTCCCGTTGGGTCCAGGCCCCTTGGACCCGAAGTCCTGCACATGTCGCACCCCATCCGATAAGAGATGCATCAATGTACACTGTCACTGTCGGTTGGGATGGGCGGAACGAAATGCCTACAGATAGGTTGCGTGAAATAGTCCACCATGTCAGGGTGTGAAGGATCTAAGATGGAATCCGCAGAAGCTTTGTTTGTAGATCCCACTGAGGATGGAACGAGTTGTTGAAAAATAATTGGAGCGGGCGGAGCCTGAGCCTTGCGTGCGGCACGATGGCCACTGAGGCTGCCATGTGTCCCAACAATCTTTGTATAGTGATGGCTTGAACTGTCCTTTGTCATCGAATCCAATGGATGTGCATACACAGGGTGGCCCTGCAGGACGGAGGAAGGAACGCTCTTTGCAGGGTGGAGTCAATACATGCTCCGATGAAATCGATGACCTGTGCGGGAATAAGTGACGATTTCTTAAGGCTAATACAGAGTCCAAGGTCATCAAGTAAAGCACAAGTCACACGGACAGCCGCTAAAAGGTTGTCTTTAGTTCGTGACACAATTAGCCAATCATCTAAATAGGGGAAGACCTGTATACCCCGGAGCCGTAGGTGCAAACTGGGGCCAAGCACTTTGTAAAGACTCTCGGTGCCGTAGCCAGTCCGAATGGTAGAACACTGAATTCGAAAATATCAAATCCGACAGTAAAACGAAGGAAGCGTCTATGGGAAGGATGGATAGAAATATGAAAATACGCATCCTTCAAGTCCAATGAGGCGAACCAATCCCCTTCCCTCAGCAACGGAAGAATATTCTGTAAAGTGGTCATCCGGAACTTCCTCGGTTTGATATATCTATTGACTCCTCTTAAATCCAGGATAGGTCGAAGACCACCGTCCCGTTTGGGGACTGTAAAATATCTAGACTAGAATCCGTGTAGCCCATCAGTACAAGAGAGTTGTCGAATCGCTCCCTTATGAAGAAGGTGAAGGACTTCATCGCACAGAACCGAAGATGGCGGTGTAAATCGGATAGGGCTCGATGGTGGAACGATGTCGAATTCTATTCTATATCCAAGCTAATGATGGACAGCACCCACCTATCAGATGTAATGGCCTCCCAAATGGGAAGTCGGTTTTGGAGCCGACTCCCAAAGGGGAGAGGAGAAGGTGGGAGGTGGAGAGATGAATTGGTTCACCAGGACTATCAATGGGGACATTTCTTGGTGTTGAACTGCCTGCAGCCTTGGGAGAAGCACTGTTAAGGCTGTTGCCTTCTACATTGCTGGCGCTGGTGGAACTGCTGGCGAGGCTGATATTGCTGGCGCCCGTAGGGTCTGGACCATGGCCACTTATGTTTTGTTTGTGGGAGTTCCATTCGACGTGCCATCATACAGGACTTGTGGATGGCTTTGAGTTTCCGATCGGTCTTCGCATGGAAGAGGCCGGAGCCATCAAATGGCATTTCTTCAATCCTCCTCTTCATTTCCTCAGGGAAATTGCAGTTCCTGAGCCATGTGTGTCGTCAGAAGGAGATAGGGTTGACCATGGTCCGAGAATCAGTGTCTATGTGATGTCTCGCGGTAGACAACTGTTGAATGGTCACCTGCTTCACTTCGTTTAAGAAGACCTTGGCTAGGTCTGTCTGCTGGTCCAGGAGGGAGGAGACAACGTTTTCCAGCTTCTGCATAATGAAGTACTGGTAACGTGCCAGTGTAGCCTCATAATTTGAAATACGCAAACCGAGTCCTGCATCCACGTAGACCCGGCACGCAATCTTGTCCACCTTCCTCCCTTCCTTATCTCAGGGTGTTGTATGTCCCCAAGCCTCCCTGCCCTGGGACGACTTGACCACCACCGAATTAGGCTTTGGGTGGCACAGCAGGAACGGGATGTCGTCTTCTCGGACCCGGTACATAGATTCATACCAGCGAGACGTCGCCTGCGGTTGAGCCGGTTGGTCCCAGGGCTGAACCATTGCCTGGCGAAGCGTGGTAATCAACGGTAAGGCAACGGTGGCAGATTGCTCCCCTCGGAC